AATGTTATGTGGCATATGATTGTAGGTGCATCTTCTGTTGGATTCTGTTTCTCTGAACAACTCTGACCAATTCAGTGCCCTTGAGATCATCTCTGCAACCACAGTGCAAGTGCTGGTCTAGATCCACACATGACAGATATTTGACTGATGTTCCTGAAGTGAAAAAGTGAATACACTAACGAATGAGTTCAATTTCTCACGATTGGGAAAGTTAGAAACAAATTCTGTAATATCCAGACACCTTTGGCTGGGCAAACAACTACTTCCCAGACCTCTTGAGGGTGCCACAGCTAACCAGACTACTAATGCTCCCAGCCCACAGTGATTTATTCCACCACCTTAAGCTAAACTCCTCACTACTGCTTGTTCAGAGGGCAGATTGCTCTGGTAGGCATGACATTCTTCTACTATTTCTTTTAAGCCTCAACAGGGTTATCTGCAATGGTTGCTTAACAAATATATGCCACTGTGTTAAGAAATCTGAGTTAGAAGCATGCTATGATGCAGAGATCAAAATAAATATCTTGTCTATTTTTCATAAGCTGGCACGTATATGTATTCATTTGTTAATCAGACACAAAGCACATACATGTGTTTTCATGTGTGAAGCACTATTAAACAAGAAAACTCTTGTAGGAATTAAAATGTCTGTATTTTTATATAAAATGGCATAATTAGTAGCATTTATGCACACATTCATAAGTATGAATATATGTTTAAGGAGAGCATAAATATACATGGGAGGATAGAATAGGCATGATCACAGAATAATGTATCTGGTATTCTATTGATGCAATTTCTGTCAACTGCTCCGCTTCAGCAGCTTACCACTAGGACACAAACCTTGGCGTTCAGGGACCTGGCAAAGCCACACTGGTCTCTGGCTGTTTGGGAAGTTGGCTGCAAAGGAAGGTTTTCTAAGCGGCTGCTTGCGATGCCATGCTGGTGGCACTAGTGCCTGGGAAATACCAATAGCTAAACGCTTCCTCTATTTCATTTTCTAAATTTCATAACCGATAGCAGCCAGGCTGCAGGCATTATATTTTGAAAGGATTATTGCACTTCCTGAGAAGTTCAAGTCATTCAGCTTTTGCCCCCATGGCTTGGGACACCAACCGAGACGCACTGCAATCACACTGCTGCAATGGACTGGCTTTCGTGGCTTACTGCTTAGTGACATTCCAAACACCAGATCTCCCTTCTGTTATGTCACCTCCTTGCCACAAACACCCCGTTGCTTCCTCTAAAATTCTTTTCTATTTTCTTGTTTACCTTATTTGTCTTACCTTCACACTTCCCTGACCTGATTACCCTTAGACATAATCACTCCTGTTTTCCTTTATGTGTCAGGGGCTGCCGCTTGATATGATGGTGTTATTTTAATACCATAATGGAAAATGATAAAGGCCAATCAATTACTTTGTATTATCCATTGTGTCCCATGGGATTGATTTTCCTCTATGTAATCATGTTTGCAGCCATAAAAACAAAGATAAAAAGGGTTTTCTTTCTATTTTTCATATTCAAAGGAGTTGTATTAGTAGCTTTGCCTCATAATGCTGCTGCTAAGAGAGTTAAATCTCCTCTAGCAAAGCAGAGCTCCTAGGAGGGGTCTCGAGCCATGGACAGGACCCAAGGCGAGTCCTTGGACTTTGGCCCATCTTCTAGTATTTATTTTCCCTGCTGCTCTTTAGAAAAATCTGGCACCACATTTATTGTCTAATAAATGGCAATCTTGTGTTGATGGCACATTTTTGCAAATCATAAGAGGTTCCCACATTGTCACTTTGCCTTTTCCTCACCACATAAACTGTTTAAAATTTCTCATGTCAAATAACCTCGAAATGTACCGATAATGAATCTTCCCTCGTGCTGCCACACCATTCACTCGCTTAAACTTCAGTTGCCTGCTGAGGCTCCCGGTCCTTGAGAATAAATATACATTAGATTCAAGCAGGGTACAGACAAATGCCAGCAGATAATACAAAGCAGGGCAAACAGCTTGGAGGAGAACCTGCAGAAGATTTCCAGTCTGTCTACAGCAGGGAGATTCTCAGAGCCAGAAATTGGCTTCAAAGAGATGAGCCACGGAGACCAAGTCTTCTAATCACTAGCTTTTCTTGCACGGAGACTGATGAGCTGGTGGGCGGCCCAAAAGGCAGCCCCCAAAGGCAGCCCTAGACATGATGGAGAACCTAGCAGCCCCACAACCCACCTCAGCTGCCCGACTGCGCTGCCTGCAATCTTGCTGCCAAACGGGCGGACTGCCTGTCATCTGGCTTTTGTTTCCTACAATCACCCTTACAGAAACCCTGCCTGTGTGGAAGATCTGCAAAGCCATGCTTTTGTCTTGATCTCACTTTTATTGCTAGGATGCTCCAAACCCCCTTTGCTTTCCTGTAGCTCCTCCATTGCCCCTTTGCTCTGAAATAAGCAAATAGTGTACCTTAATGGTCATTCCAAGTTATGAGGAGGAGAGTCCAGTGGCAAGGTTCAAGGTTTGTGATATCAACCTTCCCTAGCAGTGTGCAGATGCTGGTGGAAATGCAGAGATCGATCCGCTGCTGATGTCTCTGGGGTCAGCCATCTGGAGTCTCCCTGGGTGCTCAGTTCATCTGAGGCACCCTGCCCCTCCTTACCTCTGGTTCCCCTCTCTAGAGACTCCAGGGAGTTTCCTCTTAAGGGTCCCATGTCTGGAAATTGCAGCTTCTGTCGGTTGCTACAGTTCAAACTCATTCTACTTTAGGTACGGTGTGAGTCATATTTGTCCCTGGTTTTATAAAAGTGTGTACAACCCAAAGGAGAAAAAGAAGTGCTGTGTTCCTGGGCATCTTAGAAGGTGCCTCACATGACTGCGCTCTGCTCGGCCCCTCCCCGTGGTTTCTGAGTTTTGCTCTCCCATCCCATTCCTGCTGCTTTCCCTTGTGCAGCTGCCCGTCCTCAGAGTCCCTCAGGGGCAGTACTGTTGCCTGACAAGCAAATGAAGCCAGGAGGAAGTAAGGAAGGCCCGTCACAAAGTCATCCCTTCTCACAACAAAGCCCGGAGCCGCTGTTTGTTCATTTGCTTAAAACAAAGTCTCCAACTGCCTCCCGCGGCACCCTCCCTTGGAGAGTTCATGCTCAGAGCCACGGAGTAATTTTTACTGTACAACAAACAGTTGCTTAAATCGGATGTCTCTGAATGGTCATTATTTCCCCTTTCCCCTCCACCTGCCACAAGCCCCCAGGGTGTGGGGCAGGCCCTGCAGCTGCCACCCTGCTGGTCCACCACTCTCTGACCCTCCTAAATAAGCTTCAGCATTTGTGGGGAGACATGCAGCCCTGAGAGTGGCCAAATGATCTGGAACTTGAAAGAAAGCTTCGCGGCACACTTAGCACTTTGAGTGTGGGGAAGCTGTGGGAATGGGGTCAGATTTCCTCCTCAGGGAATTCACTCAAATAGGTTTTAAAATTTATAGTCTGTGTTGTGATAATAAATAAAAATGAAATGTACCTCCCTAACTCAGAGTTTCTTTGACTGAAGCGGTCCTCTGGGGGTAGCTCCCTCTACCACTATTCTGTTTTGAGGAAAACTGGAGAGCTGTGAACCCCTCTTTCCCTCAGCTCCCCTTCCAGGGCTTACCTGCATTCCATCAGCTGGCATCTCCTAACAGAAATTACCCTGTTTTGCCAATACTCACGGACACCCTACCCCCTCTGCCCCCATGTCTGCTTCCATGTGGCCCCCTTTTTTATGCAGCTCCCTGCAGCTGAGTCACAGAAGCCCCAGCCATGTCCAAAGCAGTTTCACTAAGCCATTCATGACACTGGTGTCTAGTGACAAGGCATCATTCAGTGCTCTTTATCCATTATCCTGTTGGGCCCAAGCGCAGCCCCTCTGCACCCCGTTCTGGCTCACACCTGTCTGCAGCCCAGCACAGAAAGGTGACATGTAGAATGGAAGTTAAACATTTAAAATCTGAGTGAAATTGCACAATCAACACCTTAAACATTTCATACATAGAGTAAGATAGTTTACAATGAGATTTTTGGAAGTTGCCCTAATGGATTTTTTTCTCCTTTCTGAAAACATTCTTGATGTATTAAAGAGAAGGCATTGTCTATAACAATACTTCCCAATGCACTGCATGAGCTGTGTCCAAATATAAGGAAACCAGACTAGTTAGGAAATACCAACATCTGACCTAATTTACTCGCTTCTGCATTATGGTTCTAATTGCACTCGATATTACCTATTATTGTTGGGTCCCTCTGGGAGCCTTGGAAAAAACTAGAGAAAACAATGTGGAATGGATTCCTTGTGTGAAATCTACAGGTTTTTTTTTCCCTTTGCCTTAAAAATGAAGGCAAGAATTTTTAACACTCCAGAGCCCATACAAAAAGCGTTTCAAGGGATGTGGATGAAATCATCTCCTGAAACTAATTTCTCACATAAACGTTGAACTAGTTGAACCCTTCCTAAAAGCAGCTTACAGGTAAAGAATCTGCAGTGAGATAACTTCAGTTTTGCAATATTCCTTACATTCAATATATCACTTACTCAGACCATCCAAGTCATCTGCAAAAAGCATTTTAAAAGAGCAGTTATCTGAACTCTCCTTTGTGCCAATTTTACATTACATGCAACCTAAATCAATGGCCACATTTGCAGTCCTCTTTCAAAAGGACACAACAACGTAAAGTACTCTTGCAGAAATCTCCCAAATTTAGTATCATAATAAGAACAAATAATGAAGAGGTCTCTGTAAGATTAAAAAAAAAAACAAAAACTAGTTCTCTTTCTCAAAATATATTTATCATTGAAGGAAAAGTGTGTGCAATTATTCCCCTTAATAACAGTTAACATTTTTAGTGCTTAAAATGAGCAAAGGAGAGTAGGGAGCACTTTATATATGCTTTATCTATTTTGGTCCTTAAAAAACAAATGTGTGAGTCTTATTGTCCCCATTTTACAGATAAAGAAGCTATCCATATTAAGAACCATACTCAAGGTGACTCACCTGCCAAACGCTAGACGCAGAATTAAACACAGTCTGTCCACACATCACGAAGTATTATTCAATCAGGACAACCTGAAAACAGTTTCGGATGTTGACGACTGTTTTTAACACAGGCAGGATTTGGTGACTGTAGAAGAGCTGATGTTTGAATATTGTTAGAGGAGATCCCAGAGGAAAAAGTTGGGTCTGCAAGGAAAGTAAACTTTTATTACTGTGTGGTTTCAGAAGACTTGGCAGTGCAGGCTGTTCTCACAACTTGCATGTACTGCTCTGTTACTTAATCAGTATTATACAGCGCCACTTAATCCTTTTTATGGCTTAGCTTGTCTTGTAATGTTGTTGTGCTGCTGATAAACCCATTCAGAGGAATAATGTACCTTTAAAAAATCCACACCATGCTCTGTTTTTAAAGTAAGGATGCTTCTATGTGAAAGCTTCTATTCTATCTCAGCACTTATTATAACTCCAGCACTAAAAACAAGGTTGCCTACTACAGGCTTAAGGGAAGTGAAATCATTTTTAAAACAAGTGGTTTTTATAGTGTCCTCTGAGATTCTGATTACACGATGTGAGTCCACATAAACCGAGGGTTAAAGGATCCAGATTTAATTTTTATCATGACATGTATCAAGTATGTCATGTTAGAGTGATAAGAAAATGTCAAGACATAAAAAAGCACCTCAGCCCCCACCCCTTTTTGACTGGCAAAGGCAATATTTATTATAATCTTCCTTTGAAAAAGCTTTTTTTCAGCCCAACATTCATTCCATTAGCAGTTTTAATTTCACTAAAATAAGCATGCTTAAATAGGAGAGCTCTTAATGCCGCATTATAGTGACAGCATCCGTTTGCTTCCTTTGAGAATCAATTAGCAGCCAAAAAAACGCTACGGACTTTATAATGATACAAGTCTGTGGTATCTCCCCAAATTACCTGGAGCAAGGTAAGTGGCCATGAGAACCTTGGTCGCCAAGGGAAAGCATGAAAGGATATACCGTGCAAGTGTGAAGTTATTCGGGAAAAATCTGCGGGAAAAAAAAAAGTGAAGCTACGCGGCGGCTGTTACAAATAATAAAATACCATTTGCATCTCTGCCGAGGGTTTTGGTTGGTGCAGCTGGTTGTGTCCCACGCATTTCCTCCCCTACCCACCCACCCCCCGCCACCCCGAACTTACTGCTCGTTTTTTTTTTTTTAGCTTGGCCAATTGCAATTAAACGATCAAGTAGGTACACTTGTTTGTGTCGGATATAAGAGAGAGTTCGGCTTCATTTCAAAGACAGATGCCCAGAAGGAAAGGGTTAGACAGTGCCATGAAACACTGACAAGCAATTTAAATTGGAATCCTGACAATTCAGCATGAATGGGGAAAAATCAAGCCCTCGCATACACAGTATGAGTCGTGGAGAGGGCAAAGGACTGTGGAAAAGCTTTTATTTTTAGAAGTCTTTACTAAGTTCTTTATAAGCATCTCAATCTTTGTTAAAAAAGAAACAGCAGCTATGCACATTTTCCTTAGGGGAGCATGTTGTTTTTCCCCCCATATAAAATTTTAGTAGTTGGCTTCCTAGAGTGAGGCTTTTTGTAACAGAATATACAAATTGTATTTTTTATGGTGCTTTATTTATAGTGAGCCAACCATTTTAATAAAATGATTCACTTAGATTATTTTACTACGCTTTATTATGGGTCTTCATCTTTTTTCATTTGTTCTTGTCTTTCTTCTGGTTAAAATTAAAATGTTTAACTCCGCAATTAATCACAAATAGATATGATCTGTGAAATGGTTTATTCTTTCAAAAAACTTGCTAAAATACCTTTCTACAAACATAAAGATTAAAATCAATACAAATCACTTGGTTGCTCATATAAGTTACTCCTAAACTGAGTTAAATGTTATAGCAAATATCTAGCATTTACTTAGTAGAGAGAAAGAAGGTGAAATAAAGTTGGCACACAAAAGAACTAATAGCTGTCCTCCTTCCTGAATTTTAGGCATGATATTGACATATGACTAATGCATTTTTCACAACAGTAAGGTATATTGCTACGTTTTGCTTTGTTTTGTTTTCTTTGAGGGGTATAGATGATTGTCATTTTGCATTTAAAATATCACAACCTAAAGTCTTTGCTGTGAAAGGCTTTTTCATGTGGAGTGTAGCATAGTTTTTTTTAAAGCATGAAGGAGAAATATTATTATTCAGCATTGTGAGGAATATAAAGACGATATTCAAGCTTGTGCATACGGGCTCCAGTACAGCCAGTTAAAAGCAACAAGACTTAGCATTTGTAGAGAGGAAGATGGTAAAAAGCCTCACATTTTATGAATGTCTTTTACATGCCTGTTAGCAACCTGAGGGCATTCTGTCAACTGAGTGCTTAAGGTGAAAAAAAAAAAAAAATTGTATGATTAGAAAGCAATTAGTTTTCATCTTATTTCAGTTATGATCAAAATCAGTGTTAAGCAGAACTGATATTATTATTGTAAAATGAGTCTGTTAAAATAAATTTTAAATTCAAGATTTTAAACACTGGTAAATTCAAGAGCACCATGTCTTTGTTTTGAATGTCTCTTACTGCTAAAATGTTCTACGCATTGCTTTAACAACATTCAAGATACCTAAAGATTTCTAATTAAAATATTTTAATTATATAATATTTGTTAATATAAATGCTGCCTTTATTATAAATACATATCCTCGCAGACTGTATCATTGCTTAAAGTGCAAAGATGCAAACACACACATGCACACACTCACACACACACAGATTCTCTCCTCTATATAATTCGCTGAGTTAATATTCCTTCTCAGAAAATATATACTTTGAATAAGATGGATTAAATATGTTGGTTGGATTTTAGAGTGCAATAAACTGATTACATTAAAAATGACCATATTTAAAGAAAAAATAGCTAAGTTGGGCTAATTTATTATTATTACTCATTGCATTTAAAGAAACTTGGATTGGAGATCAAAGTGCATTTTGACTTGTTTGAAAATTATAAATGACCCATTCCCAGTTTTCCAGCCCCATAAAGTGAGAATGCAGTCTGTGAGTACTCTCTGCTCTAATCAAGAAGGAAGGGGCTTCAGCTTCAAATGTCACTGCTGTAAACATGTTAAATCTGGAAAATATTTTCTAAGCAAGCAACCATGTGTAAAATTTACCGAACTTGTCACGAAAGGGCTACAGCTGCAAACCTGCAAACTCCTCACTTCCATGAAGCCTCCAGATGTTGAGATGGGGAAGCAGAGTTTTCCTCTTGGTTCCTGAGTTTTTGCACTGCATAGCTTTGCCTGCCACCAGCTTTTTAAACAGTTGTTTCCCCAGGTAAAGAAGCAGCGTCCATTTAATACTACGAAAGGAAACCATGCACGTACCACAGAAAGTGCTGCATGGAATTTACTCCAACATTTCCAACCCAAACATCCACCCATAGACTAAAAATTTGTAATCTGTCTGCCTGCCCAACTAACCCAAGTTAATTTAGCAAAATGCAGGGGGAAAATAATCAGGTAATTATAAGATTAAACAATTGTCGATTGTCGTATACTACAGCCAGAGACGATTCCCATTAAATTGTATTTACTTACCCATCATTTTATGAAAACTTTTTCAAAATCATGTTTGCTGCTTATAACTAAAAATATCTTGGGATAAATTTTAAACTTTATGGTACTACAAAAATATAAAGTCTGCCGATATCATCATAAACAAAGACAATCTGATGAATTTTTAAAAATTACTAACTCTACTTTTAACACCACCAGCATTATATGTAATATTTACAATATGCAATCTTCTTTTATAATGTAAAGTGTTTTTAAAATGAAATTTGCACTTAAATGCCAATATCCTCTCCTTCTGGCTTCTCACTTTATGACACTAACATAGGATCTCATTCACCAAGCCAATTGAAATTTTAATAAAAGAAAGCAGGAGTTTCTAATAAACTCCTGCAGTGAGCTGATAATACTAAACATCTTTAGCAGCATGGTGTTTTTTATTATTATTTTAGCTGTATATTAATATGCTAGTATTTGTAAACTCCCCAGTGCCAGTAGATTTATTTCAAAAGCCTTCACTACATTCTTCCATTGTGAAAAGTTTATCTGATGAAGAAAAATTCTTTTTTGCTGGTTTTCTACCCAACAACTACTTGACAGGAAAATATATAGCTGACAAATGTGTTGTGACTATGTGTTTAGTCCTGGAAAAAATAGTGACTGATTTCACTCATTGCAGTGCCAGTTCTTGGCTAACTAGGAAACTGGCATAATCTGCAACTGCAGTAAAGGCATTACTGGGGATTTTCTTGCAAATTTAACAAGCTATTCTGACCCATAACCCTCATCACAATACCTCTATGCTGACTTTACCTTCTGTTCCATTCTTCAATATCTCCTCTAGATCCCCACTGAGACTTCCCAACAGATACCTGAGCACTCTTCCATCTGAGCAATAGGAACACCTATCTGGCTACATGGCTTTCTTTTTAAATATAAGACAGGAGAATGTGGGCTTACAGCATAATTGGAGTGTGTGACTCTATACCATGTGGAATTATCTTTCATGATACTGAGTATGAACTGGGACTGCTACTGCCAACAGTCAGTGAATTTCAACATACCTTGTATGTAATAAGAGTTAACACTTAAACATTTTGGGCAGCAGACACTGTTTTATGCACTTTACATATATGAACTTTTTTGATCCTTTCTATAGCTTTATATGTCAGATGCCATTATTATATCTGCTTTGTAGATAATGAAACCAAGATGTAAGAAATGAACTTGCCAGTGTCACGCAGCTAGGGATGGCTGCATCCAATTCAAACTCATACAGCCTAGCCAAACTCTGGTTATTCAGATGCTGCCTCTGTAAACAAAACTGTATTAAGATCTACGCTGTCTTAACAACTTGTCTTACCAGGCTGCTCTTCTGGATAACACTCATTCCAATGCTTCTTCATCCCTTGTCCTCTGGGTAAGAAGGATAGCTCTGGTGTTCTTAATCTTAAATTCAGAGAAGAAAATAAATTCTCTCATCCCCTATCAATGCTATGCATTCCAATCTGATTCAGCAAAAACAGTCAAGAGACATTCATTAGCACAGTTTCCAACATAAAGTTGAGGAGAAGACATGAACAGCCTGCGATGTGCTGGTCTTATAGAATCATATGAGATTTAGGACAAAGCCTAGAAGATGCATGAATTGACAAGAGGAGCTCCTTACACAGAATTTTAAAAGGCATCGCTTTCTACTAGCCAGGATACCGGATGTGGTGAAAGGACCACCATGGGCAAAAAGCATCTCTGCATGGGTATCTGTGAAATCCCGATGACCCTGGGCTGCCTGGCTCACCTTGGCTGGCCCACTGGGGAAGAAGAGAAGGTCTCTATGGCCAGAACCAGACACACTTGGTAGCAAGAGAGCACAACTTAGGAAAGGAGAAGTCTGTTTTTCCCAAAGCCAGGATATTGGGCCAATGCAATGGTAGCCCCAGGAGCTGAAATTTGAGAACAGTTTAAGCAGATGATTAAAATGTGTCAAAGTCACCCAAGAAAAACACAAGTTTGCTATTTTTCCTGCCAAAAATTTCCTGTGTAATTTTAAGGCAGTGCACTGCCTCTGATTGGCTGCCTTGGAAAGTAGAATCAACCATTCAGATGTGGTGACATGAGATTTGTCCAATCCAGCTCACACTCTCCGGTGACATCTTGGCCAGTCACTGTTGTGGAACTGCTTTCCAGAGCAGACTACTAGAAATTATAGGCACATTTGAAAAAAAAAAAAAAAGAAAGAAAGAGCATTTGGTGATAGAAATACCATATATCTTTGTTTAGAAGTAGTGGCTTCTATTAAATTTAATTACTTCCCCTGTGGCTTTAAATCAAGGGCAGCTTCTGTTAAATTTAATTACTTTCCCCTGCGGTTTACATGGCAAAGGTGTCACTGCTACTTGTGGAGTGCTTCTGGCCTAAGTGAAAGCTTGGATATGATTTGCTCCATTATACCA